TAAAAGATGCCCAAGCTAAAAGAAAAGCTTATATATAGCACCCAATAACCAGACCATGTTTGGACAATAGTAATCAGATTGTCAAAAGGATGGAGAGGGAGGATGCTGGGTAACTTACTCTAGCTCGCATAGCAACAGCACGTCCTCGTCCAACTTCGAGTCCAGAAGAAGCAGAACCCTTGCCCTTCAAAGGTGTAAGTCAAAAAATCAGCAAGGATGTACATAGTGAAAGCAAAAAGAAGAAAAGAGCACCGACAGAATAAAATGGTACCTTGATTCTAGCTTCCGAACGCTTGAAGCCTTGAACATTGGAGCATTCTTGAGCATGTCTGGTATTAGTATTACCATGAATCTGGTAAAAATTCAGTATTAGTAAATATATAAAAATTGATGCAAGAAAACCATTTCTAACAATAATTTTAAGATTTGCTGCCGCGAATGAAAACATGCTTGAGTTGTGAGACGTTCCCATCCTATAAAAATTGACCACAATTAGCAATCAGAGAAAGTTGGAAATTTTAAACAAGTCTTCAACCCAGCAGAACATGTACTGAAAAATAAATTATATGAGGAAAATTATTAGAATTACCAAACAATCTCGACCGCTATTCAATTAACACATCTAAGACACATAATACTACCAGTCAGCATGCCAATTCCCTTTTATAATTGATAGCCCTTATATCATTTATTGTCCTCCTTTTGGTATATTAACTACAACAATTCATCACAGAAAACACGAGACTGCGGGCAAATTAACAATCAACGATGACCAAATTCATCAATAGATATATATTTACATACACAAATATCAAATCAGTCTCAAAAAATCCACGGATCCAAGTAAAATAACACATCATAACTCCCTCAAAATCCTTGCAATATTAGACAGATTCAATTACACCAAAACGTTTAAATATTCTCTCAAACAATGACAACTTAGAGACGGGATTACCAGGTGCGGGAACCAGGCTCGTAGGTCTTCGGGTGAGAGTTCCAGATGTTAGTATGCCCTGCCCCATGTTCTTTCAGCGCAAAGAAATTTCCCAATTATCCCCACCTCCCGTTTTCAATTTATTAGGTTTTGTGGGGGTGGATAATGAGTAATGAACCATAAACAACTAAGGATTGGGTTTGGGATTTTGGGCCCATTCATTGAAAAGGCCAAACAATAACAAAAGAAAAAAAAAATTCAGGCCCAACTTTCTCTGATTGCTATGTCTTCTTCTCCGAACTTTCCCTGCTTTCTCTGCTCAGCTGTCTTCCTCTCCATTTCTTCCTGGCGGATGGCGAATGGCGATGGGCTACTTCAAGCTCCTGGCGGATCCAGCACGGGCGGCCGCGGGGGCTGGCCAGGTGCTGGATCCGCCCCTGGAAGCACTTACTCTACTTGGATTC